TTCTCGCTTTCATGCAATGCCGCAGGGATCGCTCGTTCAACTCGAGCCCGGGCCGTGACAATATATTAGGGTGTGCTTTTTTTCTTCTCTCCGTTTACCAACGGGTAAACCTCTACTACGTGTACCTATCAGAGACTCCTCAAGGCACATCACGGTTCACTGACGTTTCATTTCACACCGCTCCTTCGCGGCATGAATCCTGATCGTTATTCAAGTTCACAGGGCCTGGTAGCGGCTGGTCCGCCCCAGCAATCCATCAGGTGAAACCGATGTACCTTCTGCCGGAGATCTCTCGTTCGGTTGGAGTCCAGGCCATAGTAATTGTGTAATCTAGCTTTTTCCCATTCCCTTCCACTGCTTTTCAGGCGGTGGCTGAAGATTTTATTTCATAGGTACACATCGAGGAATGGGAAAAGAAGGTGCGTGGATGATCTCGTTGGTTGTGGAGGAGTTACAAGTCAGAATTTTAACCACACGGAAGTTGATGTTTGTCTGTCTGCGTTATTTAACCGTGACTTCAATTCACAGGCTGATTTATTCAAGTCCGCAGCTATCCTTGAAAAGGCCCAGTAGCGGATGGTCCGCACCTGCACTCAGTATCCACTGTGCTGTCTTGCTGCAGGCCTATGCTCGTTCGATTCGAGCCCGGGCCATTGTCTTTTATCATTTGTTTTTTTGCGGTCCTCCACCGTAAAAGCAATATTAATTCCACTTCAACACCTGCCCACCTAGGTCGACCTCCCATCCCCACCAGTACTTTATTAATGTTCCTCCGTGGTTCAGAAAACTCGGATTTAACGTGGTTACCAGCGTTATCTTAAAAACGACACCATGTTTCCAAAGTTCGTCTCCATCCTGATTCGAGTGTCATCTCACTAGGTTGGATTACTTGAGTGCGCCGCCCGGCGATGCGTTTGGCTCCGTCACAAGCCAACATCTTCATTTCACGATTGGTTTCAGCAATTTCAATCTAAATCCCGTCTAACCAAGCTCCCAGGTACGCTAAAACAAGGCCTGGTGGTGGATGGTTCCGCACTTGTCCTCCATCATTACCAATTCACCCTCTATCTGTGCAAGAGTTCGCTCGTTCCATTCGTGCCCGGGCCATTATTCCAGCATCTATCCCTTTTTATTTCGGGGTGAACGACACGCAATCGACATACCATTCAGATACATATACGAGCACGTCCCGTAGCCGAGCGTCCACAACGAGTTCACCTGATATCCTTTTCTCGCTTGAAGTCCTATTGGAGCTTAACCATTTACGGCTTTCGCGGCGAAGAACATTGTAAGGGATGGACTGGCTGCATGTGATGGCTCTGGTGATGCCCGGACCACGAATATAAGTAGATTGAGTAGCGTAGTTTCTTGAGTTTTGAATCCAGCCTTCCCCCAGTCATCCATTCCAGCAAGCGCCCAACCTATAAACTCCCTCCGATACCAGCGACCCATAAATGTAAGGTATCATTCGGCAATGAAACTGGAATATCATCATCAGCGAGTCTACTTGCGCCCTTAGAAATGAGGAACGAGCAAAGAAAGAATCAACCCCGCCCAACTTTAATATGGGCAACACCGTCCCTCGGGATCGCAGGGCAGGAGAGACACTCGCGTCCAGAGACCAGATCGGCTAGCCCTCAAAGTTTGTGCGCGGACGCAATCCCACAAGACCCGGTTGTGTTGCTGAGATAAAGGCGGGAGGTGATCTACGAGGATGCAATCCGGCAGCTTTCAGTTGCAGTCAAATTAGTAATGATTCATTCAAGAATATGTACAGCCTTCAAATCCCCGTCCTGCGTGGAAAGTGCTAGGCGTCCTCCGCGTGCGCCCATCTGAAATATCCGTGTTATAGAGACGCGGTAGGGTCAGTGCGTTCCACCAGCGCAACGGCACGGCGCACGAAGCGGACAATAGGCGCTATCATGTGCGCACTGGGGAAGAAATCCTGCGCACACTGGCGAAGAAAGCAGCGCGGCGTGCGCAGAACGCAGGGCCCCGCGTCCTCATCGGAAAAAGCAGCACACGCGCAAAGAACGCGGAGCGCCTTGTCTAGTTCTCTACAGTAGAAGACACCGGGCGAAAGGGGGTCGTACCCAAGTGTGCGTGTTGTACCCGGTCCAGTGTGCGTTGCGGAGGAGGCGAAGGACGGGCTGTACTACTCGTGCGTAGGGGGAACCCACGGCGTCCGAGCTCAGCAAATGGAGAACGCGCGAGCGGGCAGCAGGTAGAGAACGCACGACACGCAACGGCTTCGGCAGGAAGGACTCGCCGCTGAGCGCGTCCCAGTCTTGCGTATCCGTGTGAATTCGCGCAAGAGCGCGCGCAGATTGTCTCGCCTAGATGGAGGACGCGGACAAGCGGACGCAGCCGATGCAGTACCCTAACCCACAAAGACGTGCACTTTGCCTAGATGGCGGCGCGGACGTACTCGAGTCGCAACCGCGTAGTACGGTAAGGCATAAAACGGACACATTCCCGTAGATAACATAGCACCGCGTCGCGCACGCAAAGAAGGGCACCTGCAGCCTCGCCTGGATGAGCCCATCGGCGAGAGGAGAGCGGGGCGAGGGCGTGCGGATGACGCTGAGTGCGGATCACACTATGCAGCGAAGAGCCTGGCTTGTGCGATCGATGACGCGCAGCGCTGGGAAAGGAGGACGCGAACGGCACGAAGGAAACTGCAGTCTTGCAAACGGAGGCGGACTCGGAGCATCGGCTTGATGATGGGCAATAAGCTCGATAAGAGGCCGTTACGATGAGGTGTGGCGTGGTCAGAGACGGGGTCCAATTGGGCCGTAGCGCAGCAGAATCATCGCGCACGACTTGGACGAGAGCGGGAGCGAAGGAGCAGTGACCACGTGGCAATTACCCGGCACCGGGCCGCACCTCCGCGTTCTTCTCTCTCTCTTCCATCATGACTCTCTCAAAACTCGCTCGGACTGCTTTAGCTTCCTACCGATGCGCCTCTGCCTCCATTCTGTCCTCTTGGACTTGTTGCCGGTGAGGTTTGCAGTCGTCATTCCGCCGTCAAGCTCCTTTTACTACGCACGCGGCCAAAGGAGCACCGATTTCGTGTGAACGCATCCTGATCAAGTTCACAAGTATCTTACGAAGGCCCGGTAGCGGATGGCTGTCCCTTGCCGAGATATCATCATAGGAATGCAGCATTCGAGCCCGGGCCTTATTTCTGACGGACCTAGGTTTTTGCATCCCCTTCCTTGACGAGTTCAATTCCGGTAACGTTGTGATTTTCCCAGGCACAAATTCAGGCTCGTTAGCGGGCTTGCATAGAATCAACCGCTGCCACACAATTCGTCTAATGTACGCAGAGATGGGTTCTTTTTTTTGGTTCGTGCAGTAGCTATGCCGCCGATGTTAAGTGATATATGCGCGTTTGACAATAACCAGAAGAAGGCCCGGTAGCGGTTGGACTGTCTGCACTCTCTTATTTAGCATGGTGACACCGATATTTACCTGCAGGAGATGCCTAGGCCAGAGTTAGTTCTCTTTCTGCTCCCAATTCCGAATTGCCGAGGAGGTAACCTCTGATTCCTATCGCGCTCTAGGTTGCTTAATAGTTGACTTTCACAGGCATACATCAACGAAAAAAAATACAGGGTGCATGGATCACCCTGTCGGTTTTGGATGATTTCCTATTTAATTTACAGTTCACAGGCACCGAATACAAGGCCTGGTAGCGGTTGGACCGTAACTGCAATGCATTATTAACAAGCAAAGGGATGATCTGTGGGAGTGTGCTCACCAGATTCGAGCACGTGCGATAGACCGTCACCATCAGTATTTTTTGTCCCATCAAAGTGAGCACTCCCAATGACGCCCCCATTTTTATTAAAACGCGTTCCTAAATGTCGCGGTCTGCAAGTTGATATTCGAACACTGTCTAATCGAGTTCGCAGGTGCAGGATTAAGGCCTGGTAGCGGATGGTCCGCGCCTGCACGCCATGAAGTCTTGGATGCATACATATCCTGCAGTACATCGCTCGTTCGACTTGAGTCCAGGCCATGATTCTATCAACTTTTTTATTCACGCTTCTACTGGTCGTTCTTTTTTGCCTCGGAGATGATTTGAATCTCAAGACGGATTTATTCAAGTTCACAGCCATAAAAACACGGGCCGGTAGCGGATGGTCCGCACCTGTCCCATCTGTGTAGTGGCCATGCCAACATTTATTCCGCGAGAAAACTCTCGTTCGATTCGAGACCCGGTGAAATTGTAGTACTTGCCCGACTTTTTTCCACATTCCACTCGCCATCGGATCCCATTCCCTCTGTTAATTAATTTTCGCAGGTGAAGGACCTCTCCAAAAAATCACATCACCGCTCTCACTATATCCATCTAAACAGAGGTCCGTTCTTTTTCTTCCTCGTGCACTGCGACGCTCCCAATTCAGGCCTAGTAGCTGGACTCCATCAAGATCGTTCATCACTCGCAATTCTGCGGGGATGTACTGATTATATATTCAAGTGTGCAGGTAGCAGGAGAAGGCCCGGTAGTGGTGGGACCGCAACTGTACTCCATATCTCTGTCTCCTTGGTTAATCTGCGGGATTTGCTCGTTCGATTCGAGCTCGGGCCTTGGCTCGTCCCACGTCGATTTTCTTTGGCCCATTCACTGCCAGCGAGCTCAGCCTCTCCATGAGTACGAAGACCTCGTCTGGAATTAGTACGCGGGTAATCCGATAATGTAACGCCGGAGACTAGGCCCTCATTTTATTAAAATTTACTAGGTATGTTCCTGCATTTGCGGTCAGTATAAATCATATTTGAATGCGCTCTAGTCGTTTTCACCAGTGTAAGCCGAAGGCCCGGTTGTGGATGGTCGGCCCATGCACTCTGTTACACAACCGTTCATCTGCGGCTCGCTCGTTCGATTCGAGCCCGGGCCATGATGAGATCCCAGAAGCTTTTTTTTATTACGCCTGGTTTCACTAACTTCAATTTCAATCCTATCTAACTAAGCTCATAGGTACCGTAAATAAGGCCCGGTAGCGGATGGTCCGCACTTGCACTCAGTAACTGTTGGGTGGTCCAGTATTTGTGCAGGACTTCGCTCGTTCAATTCGAGCCCGGGCCATACATAGCCTTGTGCTCTGGTGTTTTTCATTTCGACGAACAATAGCTGTTTTTGCCTGCCATTCTAATTTCTGATTTCGAATCAGGCAAGATCTGGCAGTCAAGCATTGTTCCAGCCCAACCACCTCTGTAGTGGAGGTTAAATATTTACGGCTTTCGCGGTCAAGGACTGGGCCTCATGCCGATACATTAAGGCAAATATAAGAGGCCCGCGGTTGAACTTACCTCGCCGGAGATCGCTCAAGAGAAGATGCATTTTTGCTTGAGTATGTTTCACGATCTATAAGCCTATTTCACCGATACCAGCGAGAATTTACTTGAAACCCGTAAATGCAAGGTAGTATGTGGCAGACGAACCCTGACTCGGAGAACCGGCCAATGCGTCCGCATTGCCGAGGATAGCATCCCGTTCGAAAGGAGAGCGACATCGCACAACCATGCGTCCTCGTCCCAAAAGCAGTACGCGCGCAATGACCACAGAATGCCACGCGGATCCCACTTAAAGAACTTATAGCTCAAGAGTCGTCCACGGCAGCGAGGGCTGAAGGGGGACGGAGCCGAGCGTGTCTGAGGCGGAGGACGCTGGACGCGTGTGAAGGAGGTGAAGGCGGGGGAAGAGGAAGGGGGCACTAATGGAGGGCTGGAAAACATGGCGCATTCGATGCCAGTCGAGCCTAAGGAGATCCGTGCGGGGTCAGCATAGGGATTGCACACATCAGGTGTGGAGAATACACAGAAGGAGAATGCGGAGTACGGAAGACGGAGAGAAGAGGCGCAGTGGAGCCTGTACACGTCAAGTCATCCGCTGGTTCTCATCCGAGTCGCGTAGCGGAGTCGAGAAACACGCATTACGAATCCCGGAGTGGGATAGAGACTATACGCAGCGCGTCTCGCCTGGATGAAGCTATCAGCGGGTGGGGGGGGAGCGTGGACAGGCAGACGTACCCCGATGTGCGTGTGCGAGTGTGCGGATGACGCGAAGGAGCCGCCAGCGGAGAAGGCGCAGCCGCCGGGCGTCGCCGCGTCAGCGGCGATGGTAAGTCTTGCACTTGCATGTGCGCACAATGCAGAAGATGCGCAGGAGGCGAGTTGGGTAGGAGCGAACGGCACAAAGCGCTGCGGAGGCGGATTGATGAGAGGATGATGGTCGATAACTTCGGATAACCGAAAAAGTTGCAGGTCAGGGATGCGCGAAGTGGCGTGGAACGGCCTCGAATTATCCATTAGTACTCAGTGCGAGAGGAAAGCAGTCTAACAGCAGCGACGACGTCGAGGACGAGAGCAAGCAGTGACTACGTGTGAATCTGATGCGTCGGCATCGGGCTGTACTTCCGCATTCTTCTCTTTCCCTCCACCATGACTCGGTACGGCTGCGTTACAAGACGCGCTATGCGCTCCCGCAGCCGTGTAGAAGTATCGCACTAAGGGCCCGGTAGCGGATGGTCCGCACCTGCAGATCTGAATGGTGACGATCCAATATGGATGCGGGCTCCGCTCGCTCGATTCGAGCCCAGGCCATCGTCCGTCAACCAGGTTTTCGCATCCCACTATTTGGCGAGCTCCATCTGGCTGAAGCATCAACGTTTAACTTGCACAGACAGGAAAGGCTTGGTAACGGACCTGTAAAACAAGAGTACGCCGGTTTCGTGTTCCTCCTATTTTTACCCGTGTGTATCCAAAATCCCAATTCTCATTCATTTATTGGACTTTACAGGTAGAAGAAACAACGCTCGATAGCCGGTGGGATCGCACCTACACTGAATAACAGTTCTCGATTTATTGCAATGCCGCAGGGTTCGCTCGTTCGACCCGAGCCCGTACCATGAGTGGTTCAAACGGTGCATCTGGACGGAGACCGCCGTGGTCCCGGACTACGTGATGAGGCAGCGCCGGCAGCATCCGCGCGTACCCTCCGTGACGGTGCCCGGCGGAAACTTCGTACTTATGTCGTCTACTTAGTATCAAACATATATTACAGTAAACAAAGACCTGAGTATGAAGTCCTCACAGATAACATGACATCCCTGGAAATTGCCGATCCCACGCACCTGCGAGCTGGCGTACCTGGTGATCACGCATACGTGATTCTTTTTACTGCTTCATCGCTTGGAGTCTTGCCCCAGTTCACTCTCTAAATAGTGCCAAGTCCCGTGCCATACGGCAGTTAGGAGAAAAACATATATATATGCATCACTTTAGCTATCCACCATAGTTAATCGTCTTCACACGGTTCTCAAGGTATTCAGTACTAGTAGCTGAGGTGAAGTAAGTCCGGTCGGCTTATGTATGCTCGTCACTCACATAGCCATTCAGCCTCACACGCCACCTCGAACGATGCTGCGAAGAATTCGGTCGGACCTGGCCGCCACATGCACCATTTCGTTCCTAGGCTGTATCCGTCCAGGTTAACGGCGAGACCCTTTGCATGCCACCAAGAAGGTTAGCCAGAAAGAGCCATTCTCTGCAGGAATCTCACCAGAAACACACCACACGCCTAGTCGGTGTACACGGGTTCCATCCTGTATAATAACCCAGGTTCTAGTCCCTTTTATCAGTCGGTGATCACACAAATAACACCGATAGCGGCTTCCTGACATCCTCACTGTCACATGTATTCAAATAATTGGCCTTCTATGCGTGCATAGATCCCTCATTCAGAGAAGTATTACTGGAAGCAAATAGCAATTTGTCCTTGTCATGCACATACTTGAGTGCACTAACGGCCAATGGAGTAACTTCGGTACCCATCATAAATTTATAAATGATATATTCGCCTCTTAGACATGAATATTCCACCAATCCTGTATATTTAACATCGTGCCAATCCACCACAGTTGGATACGCCACTGTTATCAACATCAGAGAGCTCATTATAGTGCCTGTTTTAAATTCAATGATTGTCTCAGCATATAAATTGCACATGCAGATACGTCGCGCAGCACTGTTCTTTGTGTTGATGCCAATAGACCAGTAGTGGTAGATCCAATCATGGCGTCTAAGGTTATTTCTCTTGAATGTGAACGCGAGTCTGCAACACGATACCGAAGACATACAGAGCGAATCACAACCATATACACCGGTCACCAGTCATTGCAAGTTCAACCATACGGTATACAATAAAGTTCCGACCCAATTATGGGCACCACAACATTCAAATCCATAATTTAACGGTGCCGACGGCATCAGCGATCTTTTTGGCCCTAGGTCATTCACAGGACATCGTCCCGTAAGAGTAAATCCCTGGGCACCAGCCCTGATGGGAGAAGTAGGAGAGCTGCTGGACAACGATGGATAATGGCTGAGCCATGCTAACCAGAGCAGGGTGAAACATAAAAGCCAGATATGATGGATCTTCAAGAGCGAAGGAGTGCAAACCATCGGCCGCATTTTCACATTAATTCAAAATCATCCGACAAATAGGAGTGCATGACAGCATGACAACGAGATCATATCACCGGAGTTCAAGAAACATTTTTACAGCGATGGCCCGCAAACTGGCAGCTGATTCCTCGTTGTAAATCCATGTGAACATTGGATGCAAGTAATATCATTTGGTGAAAAGGCAGGAGCAAGATGCGCAGTCCATGCTTTAAGTTGAAATAGTTGATCGGATCGTAACATTTGAATATTCGTGAATATTGCAGCCGACGTTCTACCATTTTCAAGCAAGAGCATAGTCAGGCAATTAAAGTACTTCTTCTCAACAGCTGCGTGCCTGGGACTACTGCTTATCATGTTCCCGGCTGATATCCTGCGAATCCGACCTGGAACGGAAAGCAGATCACCACCTAATTTGATTGACATATCAGCCGTGTTGTTAGCCGTTCAGGGGCCCATCTTCACTGAATCATTCGTCCTGAAATCTTTCCGCAGCTATCCGCCCTTCGATTCTGAAATCCTTCTTGGACTATCTCCTCATGTCAGAGCTATATGTAATCCACGGGCGTAAGACAGGAGATAACTGACTCAGATCAGAATGTTGATAAACCTAGATTTTCCGTTCAATCCTTAACTGCCTCACAATGCTTCGTAAAACCCTCGAGTCAACGAGTTCTTCTTATGTAACACCTCCAAGTGGAGGTAACTAGGAGTGCTTCTTAGAACCTCCGAGCACTGACTCTGCTGTATTCTTCACACGCAAGTAGTTTCCTTTCACGGGGATTTTCCCATGTGTCATGAAATATTCGCCGATCTCGGGAAGAATGGAGGTTAATATATATGACGGTGGACGTTCGTGCTGCGGGTCAGTATAGAGGCGGGAGATTACGGAAGGCTTTGGGCAGTGCTCGAGATTGGAATAAAAATGGCAATTCTGAGGAACACAAGATGCGGGATAGTATGTAATTGGTTGAATTGAGTCTGCAAGAAGGAGGCGAGAAATTAAGTCGATTTTGTATCTCGAGTCGGGGCTAAAGTTGGTTACTTAGATCTGCTCCAGCACACTAACAATTTCTATTTCAACATTTCGTTTAAGCTGTAGAGCTTGAATAACGCATGGCCACAATCAAAGACTGCTCTAGTTCTATCAGGCTCAACTGGAATGGGTCTCCTGAATGGCAACAACAGTAGTACATAACGCGACCGTAAGCAATTGAGACTAATATTAGGAAAGCGGATAAAGTGGGATGAAAGATCAGACCTCTGCAGTGTAATAATATAGACAAAGTGCACAAGGTAAATTGATATGACACTCTGCCACAACAAATATAGTGGGTGGCAGCAGGGGAAAAAAGCGTAAATAAAAGAAATGTGAAGGCGAGGGACCGAACGTGGGACCTCCAAATTACCTAAAAAGTTTTAAGGAGAAAGGGGGAATGAGGGATTTAAAAGAAATGCAGATGAGGGGAGTCGAACATGCGACCTCCAGATTCCGATGTGGGGGTACCGCCACTAATATATCACAAAAAATCGTAGTGAAAAATTTTAAAAAGCCTTCAACACAGCCACTATTTTACCAGGCACGAAAAATGGAACAAGGATTGAGAGAGGTCGCGAAATCCT